AAAAAATGCACCTTATGTTATTACTAAACAACCTACACTTCTCTCCCTCAATAGATTTTCAGGAAATTTGAATTTACAGTCGATTATACAAATGGTGAGAAATTTTATAAAGAATTGGGTGTTCCAGGATTGATTATAAGAGTTTAATTTTTAAACATTTTTGATGAGAAATTAAATTGAATTTTGAATCGAGTTCATACGGAATGCTCAATAGACGAACTTGACAAATCACAATCAAGACAAGCTCGAACATACTCAAATGCCGCAGTCTCAACTCAGATTAACAATATTAACTTTTTTTGCATCCTTTGAAACCAAAAAAGAAAAAGAAAAAGCCACCCACACTATTCTTGCTTACGGCTCTAATTGGGAAAAAAAGTGTGTGCCCCTTTGAATCACCTGGAGATATGCTAGTATCAAATCAGCCTAAATTACGTGGAGGTACATACAATTCCATATAGAGTTTCACAAGGACTCTATTTCTTGCTTGCAACAGGCTGTCTTGTAGCCGAAAAAGATGTAATCACATACGATTGCCTAATAGACAGTTTAGGGTAATATACTACAATGAGAAAATGCACCAAGATACCCTTTTTTTTTTTTTACTTACCAAAAAAATGTGAGTTATAAATGTACAACAGCAGAAGCAAAAATTATATAGACTTTCAAGGTGGGTGCGTGTAGAGCTAGTAATGACGTTGGGTAGTGTCATATCGAGTTCTAAGGTGTAGTCGATTCCATGTCCTATATGTTTTGTGTCATGAATAATATATGTTGTGCGGGTTCGTGTCATTCTTTAATGAGATTCCTGTGTTTTGGGCAGTTTGTCCCGTACTTTAATAAAATTTGTGTTGAGTAATTTATTTGACTCTTAAATTCACAAAAATATTGAAACTAAATTCGTATCGATTATCTCAAGTTTGCAATTGGTTTGGAGATTTGGGTTTGTTGCAGGAGACCTCCAAAAGTTCCCACAAAATAAACACAACTGTGCTATATCTATACATAGAGTGAGAGAAGACTCGAACCAAATGAGTGAATGAGAGTGAGAGAGAGAGAGCTGAGAAGGCGGAGTTCGAAAAATCAGAACGAACAACCCCATTAAAAGAGGCAGGGAATAGCTCAACACTTGTGAGCATCACCCTCCTCCTTGTCAATACCAAAACCGCCCAGGTGCCCCTCTCATCTCTCTTGCATGACATGAAATATATATATATACATACACGCGTAGACTTCTGTTCCCTTCAACACCACTTTCATTTATTGCATACATTCTACCCTACAACACGTATTACTAAGCCATAAAGGGTATATATATATAACTATACACATACATGCAGAGAAGAGAGAGAGAGAGAGAGAGAGATAGATCAGCTTCTTGAAAGTTGATCTTGGAGAGAGAGAGAGTTGGGGTTGGAGGCTAGGGTTAAGCATGGAACAAGAGATGGCAGACATAGAGGCACAAACGCAAGCAACAGACCAAGAAACCACCACCATCTTCAAGAAAGCTAATCGTCCTGTTACGCTAAAGGTACGTTGTGGTTGGTTGTTCTTATTAGTTATATGAATAGTCACGTTCAAGATTAGGCATGCATGCTTGCTTTTGTTCTTGAATTGAAAGGTTTCATTGTTAAATTTAGCCCATAATGATGAGAACCCAGAATTACATTTTTTTTACATGATTTCTGAGGATTTTCGTTCTGATTGCTTATATGACTTTATATATTTTTTTGGAGAAATTTTGGTATGGTTGTTATACAAAAGATATATATGAATCTTTGAGGGTTTTATTTTTCAGCAAAGATTTCGCTAAGAAATGAGATCATCATTTGACATTTGAAGTTTCCCTTCAAACCCCTCGCTCCTTTACTTTTTCTAGGGTTTCTATTCAGAAATACAAAGTTAAAGATATTTAGGCTTCTTAAGTTTTTTCTCTTTTTGGAAAATTTCCTCTTTGAATTTGTAAGTAAAACACATTGCATTTTACTCCCCAGGAAAAAAAAATACATTGCATTTTTCATTTTCGAAACTGGTTTCACTTGGTACTGTCCTCAATTGCCCTTAGTTTGCCGTCAATAAGCATATATCCACGTGTTATTCTTCGTGCAATATTCTAATGGGAGTTGATTTTTTTTTCCTTTCAAAATTACAATTTGTTATAGGGAGATGCTTTGCATTCCTAATTTAGTGACTTTATAATGGATCATAACTATTGATTGATGGTGGGCCTGAGATTTATTGTCAATATAATGACAGAGAATAATAAAGTCAATAAATAAGATCACCAAATCTTATTTTGTTAGAATTTCCATATCTGCCTCTATTCCTTTCACTTGCAGGTGGAGAAAGGGTTTTTGTGGAGATTATAAAATGGGTATGAGTAAAGCTTTGTGCAACAAATTTTCTCGTCAATTTCCAATACCCAAAATTAATGGACTTTATGACCACCTGAGTTTAGCTCAGTTTGCTGTGCTTCTCCTAGGTCATTTTTGGTTGACAATAATCTTAATAGAGAATAAGTATATCATTCTCAAGTTTTAACCAATATAATAATCTCATATTTAATATTTGGTTATTATCACTAATTTAGTGTGAGAATTAATGTCATTTGTATGTTTTTTAGGAAGTAACTTAATTTTAGAAAAGAAATTGATTTTAAAAAAAGAACTTAATTTTTGGAATGAAGTTAATTTGTAAAAATAAATTTATTTTAGAATTATTATTTCTTTTTCAGAATACTCAATCGATGTAGATATGAGATTTCCATCATTGGCCATAATTTGCAAATGCACACTATCATTGGAAATTTGATTGCAGTAGTAATATAGTAATATAGATTAGAAATGAAAATCTCATTATTAAAGAAGATTTACCATTATCCAAAGAGAACATGAGGGTTTCAAATCTACTCTTCTTTGGGGTTTATAATGGAATAGAAGAGTTGTAACAGTGATTAATCTCTGCATGTCAAAAATAAATTAATTGACTTTGTTATAAATAAATTTATGGTAATTTATATCCTTAAAGTTTGTCCCTAATTTTATTTGCTCCAATTGTAATAATTAAATCCTTTAAAGTTTAACAAAATTTCAATTCAGTCCTTCTAACTAGATTGATAGAAGGACGTCACAGAATTTGTCCACAAGAGGGATAAGAAGATATTTGTTTAGCAAAAAATATTTCTCTTAGATATATTGTTATTTCTGTCAATGTCTCACAGTATCTCTAAATTCTCATTCATTATCTTTTTTTTTTTTTTTTGGGTTTGGTAACTTTTTGTCTTCAAAAATCTGATAAAATAAAGTTTGGTTTTCTAACCTAAGCATAAAAAAATTTCATCAAGTATGATGTTTGTATTGGTCATAGAAGGTCATTTCGTCATAATAAATTACTGATTTTAAATGTAAGGTCTAAATTGAAACTCAATTAAAACCTTCAGGATTTGATTGTAATAATTGAAACTTGAGGGACTAAACATAAATTAGATGCATGCTTTAATGGTGTAAATTGTAATTTATCCATAATTACCACTGTTGAAGGATTGTGAACATTGGGTAATAAAAGCATTTTCATTTTACCCAGTACTAACTATTCCTGAAAGAGATGAATAAATTTCAAACTTTCCATTGAAGTAATCAAAATAAATTAAGTGCCGTTTACAGTTCATAATTTCATATATTTGGCTCTGTATCAATATTGATTGCTACTCTTTAACATTCTGATAATCCAATGTGCAGTTTGAGGACGTAGTTTACACGGTTACAATGAAGAAAGAAGGGTGCCTGAAGAAGAAATCGAAATCCGAAGAGAAAATAATATTGAAGGGAATCTCAGGATTGGTGCTACCTGGAGAGATGTTGGCCATGCTTGGCCCTTCAGGCAGTGGCAAAACAACTCTCCTAACAGCATTGGGAGGCCGACTCAGCGGCCGACTTGGTGGCACCACCACTTACAATGCCAAGCCCTTTTCAAACATCATGAAGCGTAATACAGGCTTTGTCACACAAGATGATGTTCTCTACCCTCACCTGACTGTGACAGAAACACTGGTTTTCACTGCTCTTCTTCGGTTGCCTAAAAGTTTCAGTAAAGAAGAAAAGATCAGGCACTCTGAAGCTGTGATAACTCAACTTGGATTGACTAGGTGTAAGAACAGCATTATAGGTGGTCCTTTTCTGAGAGGCGTTTCCGGGGGTGAGCGTAAAAGAGTCAGTATTGGGCAAGAAATGTTGATAAATCCAAGCCTGCTTTTCTTGGATGAACCCACATCTGGCCTTGATTCTACAACTGCTCAACGGATTGTTTCGACGTTATGGGAGCTTGCTAATGGAGGAAGAACAGTTGTGATGACAATACACCAGCCCTCGAGCAGGCTTTTTTACATGTTCCATAAGGTTTTACTGTTATCTGAAGGTAATCCTTTGTATTTTGGGAAGGGAGCAGAGGTCATGGATTACTTCTCAAGCATTGGATTCGTTCCATCGGTTGCCATGAATCCCTCTGATTTCTTGTTAGATCTTGCAAATGGTATGTGCCCTAATTATTATCCTACACAAAATTCACATTGTCTGTTACTTTCTAAGTTTTTGCATGATTATTGGATCTCACAAAGAAGGTGGATTAGCAATGCTAGTCCAAATCTTTCCAGCATGCTTGGCCTAAACTTTCCAGTTGCCATTGAGACATGGTTTGATCAGTGATTTAATATCAGTCAATTGGTTCTCACCAACCTTTTCCAAAGTGGGCTTAGTGCTCTGTTATTTTTTCTTCGGAAAGAATCTGTATCTCCCCTGGGATGTGCCAAGTGAACATATGGATTATTAATAATGAAATGCTAATTTGTCAAATTCGGTGACCTAACATCGTATATAAGCCTTCCATAGTCTGTGGAATTTAAAAGAGCGTGATCAATGTTATCCTCGCAATTGCTTTCTTTTTCACTTCCGTTTTCTGTTCTTTCTTCTTCCCAGCTTTGAAGTAAGTATAATGTCGAACACATTTTGACATCATGATGTATGCATCACATTTGTTATTTTTCTTGCTATACTAGAATGAATAAGTGAATTGTATTTGCACCACCTTAAAACTCTGATGTTTCTTATTAGAATGAATAAGTCCACGATTTTGGAAACGTACTATGTCCTCTCAAGAGTGAGAGTGTTAATAAATCAAGTTAGTCTAAAGCATTAATACAAACAGGAGATCTGGATGATTGTATACCATAAAGTTTGAGTTCAATGTGAAACCTTATTAGCCGAATATAATTTCAAGTGCCAACTGCATCAAGAATTTTATGTTGGACTGAAAGACATTACATGTAGTTGTTATTTTCCTTAATGTTCGTTTGGGTCACCTATGGTCCCTTGTCCTTGCACAAATACAGAAAGTTGGAAATTATTTACAGTATTGTTATAATGATTCTTCAATATGTTTAATCAGATTGTGTGATCAGTTGGCCAGTTGCAACATACATTGTTAGTTATAATCAAAACTCATGTTTGTAGGTGTTACATCAGATGATTCACGGGTTGATCGTCAAACTGTAATCAAGCAGAGTTTGGTTTCTGCTTTTAAGACCAGTCTGGCTGCGAATTTGAAGGCAGAACTGCAAGCAATTGACTGTAAGCTCCAAGATCAAGGATTAGAAGAAAAGCAGTTTGCACGGTGGACCACAACGTGGTGGGAACAGTTTTCAGTACTGTTAAGAAGAGGGGTGAAAGAAAGAAAGCACGAGTCTTTCTCTGGGCTTAAGATTGGTCAGGTGTTGGTGGTAGCTTTCCTATCGGGATTACTATGGTGGCAATCTGATGTCACTCACTTACAAGATCAGGTACAAAATTAATTTCCTTCTTTCGAGCATAAATGATCTTGCATAAATTGACTTAAGTATAGCTTGTTTGAGCAACTCTCTCCGTGATAATGTCCAAACTTTGTTGAATCGGAGAGCTTCAATCTTTGCCAGGAGACAACTAGATGTATATAAGATCGAATACAATTAGTACTTTTTTGAAGCGCTCAGAAACTTTTGTCTAATCGTTGAAAAATGTATGACAAATAAGAATCAATGATCCCTTTTTAATTTAAGTTATCCAATTGTGGAAACATAGCCTAATGTGATCAAAACAAAATGAACTATTTTTGTCTGTTTATCAACTTGGTAGAGAAGTGAAAGCCTTTTAAGTTTCTCAACAACTTAAGATGAACTCTGTTAATTATGATATATTACAACAACCTGACAATTGCTTTATCTATGTATGCAGATAGGGCTTCTCTTCTTCTACTCTGGGTTTTGGGGATTCTTCCCTCTGTTCCAAGCTATTTTTACTTTCCCTCAAGAACGCATGATGCTTGAAAAGGAGAGGTCTTCTGGCATGTATAGGCTCTCCTCGTATTTTATGGCAAGAACTATCGGTGACCTTCCCATGGAGCTTGTCCTTCCCACAGTTTTTGTTACCATAACCTATTGGATGGCAGGCCTCAATCCCACAGCCGAAAACTTCTTGTACACCTTACTTGCTCTCTTATACAGTGTATTAGTTTCTCAAGGCCTAGGACTCGCCCTCGGTGCTCTGGTGATGGACCAAAAATCGGCTACTATACTCGGATCAGTCATCATGCTTTCCTTCCTTCTAGCCGGTGGGTACTATGTTCAACATGTTCCTCCCTTCATATCCTGGATCAAGTACATATCTATCAGCCAGTATACATACAAGCTCTTGTTGGGGTCTCAGTACGACTCCGGTGACACTTATCGATGTGGTAGCAATGCCACTTGTTTGGTTGAGGACTTCCCTTCAATAAAGGCTGTCGGGCTCAACGAGAAAACCCTCTCGGTGGTTGCTTTGGCCCTAATGCTGGTAGGTTACCGGCTCATGGCTTATATCGCTCTCATGAGGATTGGAGTGACAAGAAAATAGGTGGAATTGGAACAACAAGCCTACTTGTTATGATGCTGAAGTTCTAATTTGATTAAAGAGAAAACAAGAGGAAGTTTAGTAGTGATTTTCAACTTTTTCCCAGGATCTTCAATGCATTTTCCCTAGCTATGTCTTCTCTCGGATTTATCAATTTTCTATTATTGAGTTATAAAACTGATACGAAACTTGCAATTATTACGGAGGAATGACTCAAGGAATCATAGAATTGAAATAATTGGTATCGGCTCCTGAACAATACATAATACTCTTGTCTACACTGAAATGAAATTCTTCAACACAAAAGAATTGAAGATTTTAAGAAACCATATATGTACTTCATAAGGTTCAGTGATTATGATTATTTTACCATGTAGTGCTCAGCAGAGCCAAATACATTCCCGCATTCAAGCCTTGCAAGAGGCGTCGGGAGCAATTCGACTCAACTCAAACTATAATATAAAATTTTCAACCCTTTAACGCAAGTCTAAATTTTTAAACTTAAATTATATACTTTGGGCTGAAAGGCGAGATCAATTTTAGAGTCAAAATTTGGGTTCCATTTTAAGATTATAAAGCTCGGACTGAAATTTGAGTTTGATTCGGAGTAGTTAAAATTTCTCAAAGACACTATACCCAATCCCGGCACTGACCAAAATTAAACAAAGTTAAGCTTTATTTGCTCAATCCAAAACAAGTACTGCTAATATCTACTTAAATACTGAATATTTCGGATTAGATCTCGGATGAGCCATCCAAGTTACATTACTATAGAGAGGTGCAATCTTGGAAAAAGGCCATGTTCTGTCATAATTATGACAATCACCCAGAAATTCAACATAGGCCAACACTTGCTGCATTTTAGGTACTCTGTTTAATCCTTGGTACATAATGTTAGTGTTTGATCAACCACTCAATATGCCATTAACATCCTTAANCCAGAAATTCAACATAGGCCAACACTTGCTGCATTTTAGGTACTCTGTTTAATCCTTAGTACATAATGTTAGTGTTTGATCAACCACTCAATATGCCATTAACATCCTTAAAAATTTATTAGGATCGGGTCCTGATTCAAACTTGGTATTTAGAGATCATTGGACTAATTTAATCCGATCCCTCCTTGATACCCGAACCAACATGCCTTTTTAGGTACTCTGTTTAATTTTTAGTACACAAGATTAGTATCAAATCAACCACTCAATAAGCGATTAGTATCCTACCAAACGGTTAGCTCTAATCAAGCTGTGAATAACATAAACCACACAACATGAAGCTTTCGTGGACGCCATTCTGTTTGTTGGCCTTGAGGTGACCAAGATAGGTGCCTGTCTANATTAGTATCCTACCAAACGGTTAGCTCTAATCAAGCTGTGAATAACATAAACCACACAACATAAAGCTTTCGTGGACGCCATTCTGTTTGTTGGCCTTGAGGTGACCAAGATAGGTGCCTGTCTGAGTGCAGTAATGAACAGACACAGACCATGGTTTCATCGTATTAGCGCCAGACCAAACACGTCCATGTGGTTTTCATAATTTGATTATTAAGTGTTTCTCTACCTAATTGAATGTACAGTTACTTATTTGGTAGTCATATTTGCACACTCATGCTCGTCATGTATGCTGTTTCTCTCTCTCTTATTAGGGGGAAGAGAGGGGGTGGGTGGAGGTAAGACAATTTTCCTTTTTGTTTTGTGTCGATATTATATTCTAGTTTTTGGACAAAATAATCGAGATAGATATTGATATAGTGTATGGATCGTCAAAAACATTCTCAATTTAATAAATCAAAATCTGGGATTTTTAGATAAAAATCATGTAATTTGAATATAAATCAAATAATTTTTCTAAGAAACGAATCATGTAATCGAAAAAATGTAAAAACATTATATATCTGTCATATATATTGGAATGCAATGATACTTGGCTTCACTCCTCGCTCACCCAACACTGATCTGGATGAGAACGCCTCCTATACAATTCATAATAGTGTTGGGTCTGAAAGCGGCTTCTCCTTAGCTTTCGTCTCAACTCTTGATGGCATTTTCCCAAAATAAACGTGAATTAGTGTGAGTGTAGATGATAATCACAAATCTGAAGTTAAAACACACTAAAATCTCACTCAATATCAAATTAGATCTCAAGAAAATGTAATTGGTATACAAGAAAATGGGTGGGAAGCTCATTGGACCGAAATCGGACGCATACCGCTCAAGCGATGTTTTGGGCTGCTCGAGCAAGCTCTGGAGCAGACCAGTCCGATCCTCTTCCGCTGTCCAGCCCACTTCCAATCACAACAAGAAAAACAGCTTTTGAGTTATTATTTTTGCTTCGGCAAGTGTTCCAACGCAAATAATTGAGAACTTGTTTCATCAAGAGTCCGATGCAAAAAAAGGGCAATATTTGCTTCAGCAAACACCCGATGCAAAAAAAGATGAGTATTTGCTTCGCTAAGGCATCCTCGTGCAAAAATAAATAAATAAATATTTATATTTATTTATAAATGTCAACATCTCTGAAAAATTTTTGATTTCCTATTTCACCCATAATTATTACACTAAAGACAATTATGCCCACAAAATATTAACTAGATAAACTTTATCACTATGACTTTTAAATTTTTTGCTAGATAAATTTTATCACTAATATTTTAAAATTTTTGCAAGATAAATTTTATCATCAAAATTTTTACTAGATAAACTTTATCACTATTACTTGTCAGTACATTTTAATTAAAATTCTAATATGATGTGNTTTTACTAGATAAACTTTATCACTATTACTTGTCAGTACATTTCAATTAAAATTCTAATATGATGTGAAAAAAATTGCTATTTTTTAGGATATAAACACAACCATCGAAAATTCATTATTCATTATTATATAATAAAAGATTAGAAGAGTAAAGAGTTAAACTCATATATTTTTCTTTCTTTCATACCTATTAGACTTCCAAAATATTTTAAACAACTTTATTTTTCCTATTTCACCCCTAATTATTATACTAAAGACAATTATGTTCAAAAAATATTAGCTAGATAAACGTTATCTCTATGAGTTCCAAATTTTTTGTTGGATAAACTTTATCACTAATATTCGAAAATTTTTGCTAGATAAATTTTATCACTATATATTAGTTAGATAAAATTTATCTTTATGATTTTCAAAATTTTTATTAGATAAACTTTATCACTGTAACTTGGCAGTACATTTTTCTTTTCTATTCAATTCGACAAATTCAACTAGAATTCTAATATGATACGAAAAAAAAATTGTTATGTTTGAGGTGATAAGCACAATCATCGAAAATTCATTATTCATTGTTATATAATAAAAGATTAGAAGAATAAAGAGCTAAACTCATATATTTTTATTTTTTTCATATCTATTAGAATTTTCAAAATATTTTAAAAAACTTTATTAGAAATATATATATATAGGTAGATATAGGAAGATAGACATATATCTCACCACTAACTTCATTAACATATTTGGTCTTATATCTCTGTAGGGTCGACGGTGCTTGATGTTGTCAACATGTGAGCTTTTTTTTTCTTTGTCAGAACATGTTTATTGCCGGTATGATATTTTCTTTCTTTGTTTTTCATCTATTTGGGTATGACTATTGCATAAATGCTCTATTTACCTTACAACAATTTTTGTAATTGGAACTAAAAATTGCTATTTTTTTAGGATATAAACACAACTACTGAAAATTCATTATTCATTATTAAATAATAAAAAAATTAGAAGAGTAAAGAGTTAAACCCATATATTTTTCTTTCTTTCATACCTATTAGACTTCCAAAATACTTTGAACAACTTTATTTTTCCTATTTCACCCCTAATTATTATACTAAAGACAATTATGCTCACAAAATATTAGCTAGATAAACTTTATCTCTATGACTTCCAAATTTTTTGTTGGATAAATTTTATCACTCATATTCTAAAATTTTTAATAGATAAATTTTATTGCTATATATTAGTTAGATAAAATTTATCTCTATGACTTTCAAAATTTTTACTAGATAAACTTTATCACTATAACTTGTCAGTACATTTTTCTTTTCTATTCAATTCGACAAATTCAACTAGAATTCTAATATGATATGAAAAACAATTGCTATTTTTTTAGGTGATAAGCACAATTATCGAAAATTCATTATTCATTGTTATATAATAAAAGATTAGAAGAGTAAAGAGCTAAACTCATATATTTTTCTTTTTTTTTTTCATACCTATTAGACTTTCAAAATATTTTGAACAACTATATTAGAAATATATATAGGTAGATATAGAAAGATAGACATATATCTCTCGAGTAACTTCATTAAAATATTTGGTCTTATATCTCTGTAGGGTCGACGGTGCTTGATGTTGTCAACCTGTGAGTTTTTTTTTTCTCTGTCAAAACATGCCTATTGCCGGTATGGTATTTCCTTAACTTTGTTTTTCATCTATTTGGGTGTGGCTATTGCATAAATGCTCTATTTACCTTACAACAATTTTTGTAATTGGAACTAAAAATTGCTATTTTTTTAGGATATAAACACAACTATTGAAAATTTATTATTTATTATTAAATAATAAAAAATTTAGAAGAGTAAAGAGTTAAACCCATATATTTTTCTTTCTTTCATACCTATTAGACTTCCAAAATACTTTGAACAACTTTATTTTTCCTATTTCACCCCTAATTATTATACTAAAGACAATTATGCTCACAAAATATTAGCTAGATAAACTTTATCTCTATGACTTCCAAATTTTTTGTTGGATAAATTTTATCACTCATATTCTAAAATTTTTAATAGATAAATTTTATTGCTATATATTAGTTAGATAAAATTTATCTCTATGACTTTCAAAATTTTTACTAGATAAACTTTATCACTATAACTTGTCAGTACATTTTTCTTTTCTATTCAATTCGACAAATTCAACTAGAATTCTAATATGATATGAAAAACAATTGCTATTTTTTTAGGTGATAAGCACAATTATCGAAAATTCATTATTCATTGTTATATACTAAAAGATTAGAAGAGTAAAGAGCTAAACTCATATATTTTTCTTTTTTTTTTCATACCTATTAGACTTTCAAAATATTTTGAACAACTATATTAGAAATATATATAGGTAGATATAGAAAGATAGACATATATCTCTCGAGTAACTTCATTAAAATATTTGGTCTTATATCTCTGTAGGGTCGACGGTGCTTGATGTTGTCAACCTGTGAGTTTTTTTTTTCTCTGTCAAAACATGCCTATTGCCGGTATGGTATTTCCTTAACTTTGTTTTTCATCTATTTGGGTGTGGCTATTGCATAAATGCTCTATTTACCTTACAACAATTTTTGTAATTGGAACTAAAAATTGCTATTTTTTAGGATATAAACACAACCATCGAAAATTCATTATTCATTATTAAATAATAAAATATTAGAAGAGTAAAGAGTTAAACCTATATATTTTTCTTTCTTTCATACTTATTAGACTTCCAAAATATTTTGAAAAACTTTATTTTTCCTATTTCACCCCTAATTATTATACTAAAGACAATTATACTCACAAAATATTAGCTAGATAAATTTTATCTCTATGACTTTCAAATTTTTTGTTGGATAAACTTTATCACTAATAGTCCAAAATTTTTGCCAGATAAATTTTATCACTATATATTAGTTAGATAAAATTTATCTTTATGACTTTCAAAATTTTTACTAGACAAACTTTATCACTATAACTTGCCAGTACATTCTTCTTTTCTATTCAATTCGACAAATTCAACTAGAATTCTAATATGATATGAAAAAAAATTGCTATATTTTAGGTGATAAGTTCAATTATAAAAAATTCATCATGCATTGTTATATAATAAAAGATTAGAAAAATAAAGAGTTAAACTCATATATTTTTCTTTTTTTCATACCTATTAGACTTCCAAAATATTTTGAACAATTTTATTAGAAATATATATAGGTAGATATAGAAAGATAGACATATATCTCTCCAGTAACTTCATTAATGTATTTGATCTTATATCTCTGCAGGGTCGACGATGCTTAATGTTGTCAACCTATGAGCTTTTTCTTTTCTCTATCAAAATATGCCTATTATTGGTATGATATTTTATTTACTTTGGTTTTCATCTATTTGTGTATGACTATTGCATAAATGCTCTATTTACCTTACAACAATTTTTGTAATGAAACTAAAATTAATTTGTATTCAATTGAATTGGTACTCCCATCAAAGTGATAATGAATGCCTAAAAAAAGTACTTTTCATAGAATGAAGAGCTTAATCTGTTAAACTAATCTCCTAATATTTAATTGTTTATTATTAGTAGGCTTGTAGTGTTTTATGAGTTGTTATATTATGAGTAGAATTAGTTTTGTTACTAGACTTCTTGAATTCATGTGGTGGTGGAATAGTTTTAGTTTAGTAAATTATATTTAGAAGTTTTCTTAGTCTTATGTTATAATGCCAGAAATTTTTATTGGATTCAAGAAGTCATTGAATGCATATATCAGTAGTCTTTTTGCTTTGTCAACTTCATACACTTCGTATTTTTAAAAAATATAATCAAAATTTTATGATTTAAATTTTTTCACGTGCAACACACACGGTTGCATTACTAGTATTAATTGAAAAACAGAATGATGTTGTTTATTTGCCATAAACTACGTCGTTTTAAAACCCTATAACTCCATTCAAACTCGTCATTAGTGTCTGTATCTGTCTTTACCCCTTCTCTCTCCGTCGCTACTCAACCGTTGCTTAGCCACCACCGCCTCAACCCAATTCACCCGCATCTTGATCTTTACAACTTTTTTTGCTTTTGATGTTTCCTTCTCCCAAAACTAAGGCTTTTGTTTCGGCTTTGCTCCAAAAAATCCAAACTCCTATCAGCTACCAAACTCATCTTGAATTTGGAGCTCCTCTTTCAATCTTCTCAATTAATCAAGGGTTTGCATATTTGAAGATTGCTTCAAGCTCGTCTCTTAATTCTCCCCTTCTCTCTCGGATTCAATATGTTATGGAAAGTTACTTCTCTCTTCTCCGGTAAGAGATACGATCCACATGCTAATACAACGGTTCTTATTCGTTCAATTTGGTTTGTGTAATTTGGATAATTGGAAATAATGTTTGAAATCTGACTCGTCTACTATTTGAATTTTACTTTTTTGTATGTTATTGTTTCTTTATATTTGTTTTAGACGGATCGAGCCAATGTCCAATTTTAATCCACTGAAGCTATTAAGTATATGCTTTGATACTTTAAGACAACGTTATGTACTGAATGCATCTTGTTGGCGTATTAAATGGTAGTGATTTATGATGATGTACAAAGGTGAATTTATGCACAATCAATAGTTTAATATATGATTCAAGATAATTAATGAAATAATCAATAAAACAATTAATAACGGAAGACAAATTGGGTTAATACAAGTAACACACAAATGTATAGTGGTTCACTTAGGGTGATCTACTTCACTCCGAAGACGGCAATTGTGGCCGAAGGACTTTATTGATAAAGTAAAAGTTGCGCGAGAGAGAGAGAGGGCAAAGGTAAGCTCTAAGAGAGGTTGGATAGCTATGAGAGAGATAATTGTGTAAGGGTGTGTAGAGAGATGCCCCCTCATGTGGAGAGGGCTTAAAACTTATAGGCACAGAACCTTGGTTGAGATGGTGGCGTGATGGATAGGTCACTAGTTCTTCGAGGAGAATAAGTAAAATTAGGATAGGTATAATTAGAGATAGTTTTGAACTTTGAGAGTGGTTATCCCGAAAATTATTTCCCACGTGCACTAATATTCCTAGATCTCTTGAATTTTAGATTGGGCAGAATCCATGAGTTGGGCTTGAGCTGTTTTTTAGTTGATTTTGGCTTATCTCATTAATTGGACTTAAACCAGTTGGATCTCAACTCATCATTTGCCCCCCATGCCCCAAGCACTTGCAATGACCTAGGATTGAGGGCATGACTGAGCTCGAGCTCTCCTTCTAAGCGAACCAGGTACCTTGTTACCCATGGTAGCTTTTTCTTTTCTCCTATTTTATCGTTGGATACCCACTGTGCTATTACCAGGTTAGAGAGGATTCAATATCAAAATCCCCTTTTCCCCATTTAATGCATTTTCTCCATTTAATGCATTTTCTATAGGGTTTCAAGAGGTTAGTATTTATAGAGCCCATTTTACTCCTCTTCCCTTGTAACTCTTTTCCTTGAGAATTTGAAGCCTCCATTGAACGTTGGGAGGGATTTGAGGAGAGGGATTCATAGAGAGTGTTTCAGGAGAAAATTCACCAATGGAGAGGAGTGAGAAGCCAAAAGGTGGATCAACGAGCAAAGAAGGCAACAATGGTGGAAGCAACAGTGCCAAGGGAATAGGACGCATTGCAATTGATGCTGCAAGGCAGGACGGGTGACGCCAGCGGAGGAGAGAAAATGCTTGGGGTGTTGTGTGTACTAGTAGGTGCCCACGGCGCTGGGAGCAGCGATACCAGTGGTGCTGGTCTGGGAGGCCCTTTTGCATTAACTTGGGTGACATCCCTAACGTGCCAGGTGTCATCAACTGGTTGGAGATGGGTATGAGGACCACGGGTGGCGACGGTTTCATCGGGCCTAGAGCAAGCTCGCGTAGTGGCAATAATAGCAGGAAAACCCTGTGTGTAGGAGGCGACGTCAGCAGGAGGAAAGTTTACACCCTTGAAGGCAGCGGCGCCAGAGGGAAGGGGGCGATGCCTTGGGTATGTCGAGTGAGGCCTAGATGTTGGGCGCTGTTCTTGGGCCAGGCCAAGGCGACGTCTCAGGCCACGCTGCTACTGATGACGAAGATGGCATAGGGGACACATTGAGCAACGCCTCAGGCACTGACGACATGTTGGGCGGCACCCCAAGCTTTGGCGATGCTGCAAGCGCTAGTGTAGACAAGCGCAGGGTTCTGGGTAGTGACTTAGGCAAGTGAAACTTGAGTGGTAGACTGTCAGGCGCCTATAGGGGGTATCAAATAGGTGCGCTAAAAACCCAAAGCAATGTCCTTGGCTTTGCTAGGGAGGGGGAGCGTGATACCTTTCCCCAAGGTAAGGCAAAGCTGCTCACCCATGTGTTCCTTATTTTTGGCGACATTGCTTCGATGTTGGTATTTTCCCAAAATTGACTTAGCTTTGACATTGGTTCTGACTTTGGCAGATGCCCACTCTAACAAGGACATAATGAATTAAACTACATGAGGCACCCAATGAGGCAAGGGGATCACTAGAGAAGACGGCTTGAAGGTAACTTCCATATTTAGTTCCATTGATTGCTACGACGATGTCGCCCGCATTGTATCTTCGTATCATATCCCTACTATTATTATATGTAGTCAAGCCAAGGAGGATGAACCGACGTGTTATGACTCCTAAGGAGAGAATGTTTTTTATAAGGATATCCTGGAGGCGAGGTTGAGGTTTCTCATACTCGGGCCTATCTGTCGAGTCCTGGGACACTTGTCACTGACTCCAGGAAGGTTGACCTCCAATGATTGGAGGGTGATTCTAACATTCTTCTCATTTTGGCGGTTGGTCCATGGTGCTGATGTCCCTTCTCCTTTTGAGGAGTTTTTGGCCTTGTACGTAGTTCTAGATAACCCTACTCTTCATCAAGGGTGGTATCGCTTTGCCCCAAGGTAAGGTAAGTTTATCACTAGACTACCCTTGAATTGCCATAGCTGGAAGTCTAGGTTCTTCTTCATTGGAGGTGAGTGGGCCGTTAAGGAAGATCGCAATTTAGTGCCTTCAATGTGGGACACTGTTCCGAGGACCATGCTAGGTAAGAGTTCTACCCTTACTTTTATGTCTGATTGTCATGTCCCTGTAGTTACTGCACATTTGGTTTCTTTGCAGCTCCCCCCACATTATCTCCAGAGCAAGTGAGTAGGCTCCAGGCTATGTCGGATCATCCCTTCAAGGAGTTTTCGGCCATCACGTCTGCATCAGGAAAGGTATTTGATCATTCCAATCAACTTTTGGTAATTGTGACTGTGACACCCCAAAAATTGGGGGTCCTTTTTTTTTTCGTGAATGCCGCACAACCTAACATCACGTTAATAGTATCCCTTTAACTGGAATAATAACTCACATGGGAAATCCTTATTCCTTTAATCATTTAATCCTATCGAGGTTCAATACCCCCAATATATTTCATTTAAGGTCCATTTGTATTATTGGAAGCAAGAACCTTAAAGCCCAAAAGTATGGCAACACAATTAAAAAAAATTTCTGGTTTTTGGAAAGCGTACCAGTACGCGTATCGGTACGCTTGGCCAATTTTTCCCTGTTTCACGTATTTTCGAAATCCAATCCATTTCAAACCCTCTCATTTTCATCCAAAACATGCATGATGGAGTTTTTTTCACATAAAATCTCATTTGTACAAGTCCATTACAATTTATTTACATGCCAAAATGAAGTTTTAACAAGACTTTACAACAAAACCAAGGTTAAGGACCACATGTGGGCCCTTCTTCACCCTTGAGACTCCGAATGAGAGCCATTCATCGGCGTGCATCCCGCATCTGAAATATTTTCTCGTATAAGGTGAGCCAACGCTTAATAGAATATTTTCTACAGAGGTTACTCCGTCCCTAGATGCATATGCAATGTTTATGTGCAACACTTAACCATCATTTCTCATTCCAACAAGAACATGTATGTTGAAAAATCATAATGTCATGCCGTGAAATGAGATGAGACTCACTCACACACCCTAACCCGAGTCCACACTGACTCCCACAACACAATGCAATGCACGTGTGTCATAAATCAGTCATTGGTGAAACACATCCAATGATCTTTTGAAATACAATTCATGTGTTTTGAAAACCATTTCATTGTTGGATGTCTCCCATCAAATGAACATTTATATAACAAAACCATGTATCTTTGTTGGGTATCGAATTTTGGAATCACACCGCTGGCTCTGTACGCCATTACACTTTTTTGAAATTTCACCTCAGGGGAGTGTATGAACCAAGTAACCGGGTCTTTCACCCGAGAGAGTGTCTTGCCTTTCTTGCTATATCCGATACAAGTTTTTCTTTCATGCAACTATGCGACTCAGTCAGATTTTCAATCCAACTTTTCCCGAGCCTATCACCAATCACCAAGTATGATAATTAATCCAACCATGCACACACACACACTCATACTCATGACCATGGATGTATTTTCCCCGTGCAATATGCAATGTAATGCACCATTGCAATGTCGATGTCATGCCCAATATTCTAGGAATGCTAATGAGCAATTTAACCACATATTTCAACATATGTCATGACAAATTACATCATAAGCATATAATTACCATTCTTTATCACAATGTCAAAATATTAATGAACGTATACCAACATTTATATCCCATTAATTCATAACTATGCTATCACATAATCCATGTCAATAGCACATTTAAATCACAAGGCACATTATAAACATATAGCATGCCCACATAAAACCCAATTTCATGGAATTTTACAAGCACTTCCATATAACCCAATTAAGCTAGAAATTTGTTTAGGCCATTTCTATACCCCTTTTTCTAATTTCCATGAATATAGGCAAGTCATAAGTCATCTCATACATATAACCATTACATATGTACACCATAGGATAGAAATAGTCCAAAGTAGGAGGAAACCCTACCTCTTGGAGCGTGAATAGAAGGTAGAAACTTCAAGAACTCCAATACCATCCCAAAAACTTGATTTTCTCAAAATTCCTTCTTTGGATCTTTGATGAAATCCCTCATTCTTGGGACGTACGCGTAGCCTTCGCTGCGTAGATGAAGTTTAACTCTTGGTCCAAGCGATTCCGACCAACGGAACTCCTTGGATTGAAGAAAGAAATGTAGAAATCTAGGTTTTCTCTCTTCTCTCCCTTCTCTTCTCTTCAACGTGTGAGATCAGCTAATTTAGGGGTGAAAGTATCTGAATTTTCAAATATTTAACCCCTATTTATACTTTTAATTGTGCGGTCCATATTGCTTCACACGTTTATTACTTCCGGGGTCCCTTTTTAACCTGGAACGACTTAATTAATTTTCGGTTTCAGTTCAGATTAATTTTATTTGAAATTTTATCTAATTATAAGAAAATTTTATAAATTTCATTTTTGAGGACCTTTGTGAGGTCATTAGTCACTCAATTGTCTCGTAAAATGTACAAAATCTGACTACTCAAAATTCGACGAAATTTGACATAACAACCTGATTTCACGATACGAGTTCAACGGTGAGGTCAGTTGCATCATCCGAGTTGTAGAAAAATATTGATTTTAAACTCGCATTATAGTGACAAATTACCATGTTGCCTTTTTTTTTTCAAAAAAGTTTAAATTTTTTCGGATTTTTACATTTTTCCCCCTTAAAAGAATTTCGTCCCCGAAATTCACATACACATATACATTCAAACACATGCATATGCAACAGTCATGCAATACTACAAGACTATAAAAGTGTACCTCCATTCTCAAATAAGAAAGGGTAATTGGTACGGATAGTGTCCTCGCGCTTCCATGTCGCCTCCTCCATTTCTCGGTGCTGGCGCAACACCTTTACTAGCCTTACGGTCTTGCCTCGCAAAACCTGATCCCAGCTATCCGTAATGCACACAGGTCCCTCCTCGAAGGTCCCATCAGCATCCATAATAAGCTCGCCCTAATCCACCACATGAGTTAGATCTGGGGTGTATTTTTGAAGCATGGAGACATGGAATACTGCATGAACACCTGATAGATTTGGCGGTAACGCCAACTGATAAGCAACTATACCAACACTCTTGAGTACCTCAAAGGGCCCAATATACCTTGGTGATAGCTTTCCCCGCTTACCAAACCTAACCACTCCTCTTTTAGGCATCACCTTCAAGAAAACATGATCTCCCACCTCAAACTCTAAAGGTCACTGCTGTTNCTTTTAGGCATCACCTTCAAGAAGACATGATCTCCCACCTCAAACTCTAAAGGTCACTGCTGTTTGTTGGTGTAGCTCTTCTGTAGGCTCTAAGCCGTGAGAAGACGCTTTCGAATCAAGTCCACCTTGTCCGAGGTGTCTCTTATCAACTTCAGACCCGTAGAAGATCTTTCTCCTACTTTCATCCAACAAATCGAAGAATGACATGGCCTCCCATATAGTGCCTCATAGGGTGCCATGTGAATGCTCGCCTGATAACTATTGTTGTAGGCGAATTTTACTAAGGGTAAATGCTCCTCCCAACTACCCTTGAGATCTAGGATGCATGCCCATAGCATGTCCTCTAATGTCTGGATGATCCTCNGTGCCTCATAGGGTGCCATGTGAATGCTCGCCTGATAACTATTGTTGTAGGCGAATTCTACTAAGGGTAAATGCTCCTCCCAACTACCCTTGAGATCTAGGACGCATGCCCATAGCATGTCCTCTAATGTCTGGATGATCCTTTCAGACTGACCGTCTGTCTGGGGATGAAAAATAGTGATCATCATCAACTGTGTCCCCATAGCTCGCTGGAAACTCTCCCAAAAATGAGCCGTAAACCTGGGATCATCATCTGATACTATAAATACGGGCACCCCATGCAACTGGACAATCTCCCGTATATACAACCTATAGAATTCCTGTAATGTGAAGGTCATTCGTACAACCAAGAAGTGTGTCGACTTCGTAAGCCGGTCCACTATCACCCATACTGCGTCATGTCTCCCCGATGTCCGTGGAAAATGAGTCACAAAATTCATTGTGATATGCTCCTACTTCCACTCATCTACCTGCAAAGGCTGGAGTAATCCCGCTGGTCTCTGGTGCTCAGCCTTAACCTGCTAACATGTGAGACATTATCTAATAAAGTCTCCAACATCTCTCTTCATCTCACTCTAATAATACTGGCGACGAAGATCATGGTACATCTTCGTGCCACCTAGATACACAACAAAACGGGAGCAGTGAAACTCTCTGAGAATCTCCTCCCTTAGCTTCGCAGACTGGGAATCCACAATCCTTCCCCTAAACCGAATGAATGGTCATAGTGAATGGTCCAGCCCTCGTCACCTGTACTTGTCTGTACTTAGTCCCTGACCGATGATAACTCTATATCCTGTCCCTAGGACTCAATCACTCTACTCAGTAGGGAAGGTGTAGTCACCAAGCTCCCTAAAATACCC